TATATATATATATATATATAAACATAAACTGTATATCTGTTCCAGAAATGCATTATGAATGGCTAAATATAAATCCAGGACCAGCATATGTAGAAGACAGGCCTTCCCTGGTAAATAAATAATGTATAGATTTGCCAACATACCTACCCATAGACATAAGATCATAATCATTTTTTAAGGAATGATGAGACCACCATAGATCTTTTTTCCATCAGTAGATACTGTAAATAAGCATATGCTTCTCATCATCACATCATAGGCACTGTCCTTTTATGAAAATAAGCAGCATCCACAAGGTTTTTATACTATAACCTTTATGTGGCTTTGACATTCATGATACTAAGAAGTAAAAGCATACTAATAGTTCTGAATCCCCCCTTATTGTACTAGCATCAAATGCGAAAACAGGGCTGTTCCTCATCAAGTCCCTGCCTGTGCATGATCTTCCAGTGTTTTACAGGGTTCTAGCCATCTTGAAAGTTGTGAAGATATGATTGCATTCTTAGCAAAAGCTCTGCATACTGTGATAATGAAAACTATTTTTTTGTAAACTTGTTTGTTGCTAAAGCTGTTAAATGCTAAAATGCATTGAGCTTTATTTAGATCTGTTTAAAGCTTTCAGTCATTGCCTCAAATAATTACAGGCTACAATTGGGCCTATCCCAAACAACAAAGTTTATATCCTGATGGTGGTTAACAAGTGTCTTTTTATAGTTTAATGGAACAAAAAGATCCACTAACTCGAATCCATCTGGGATGGCCTGATTCCAAATCACACTTAAGGTGCCCATACACTGCACGATTCTCGTACGAGAATCGCGGGAAATCCCGCGATCGTACGAGAATCGTGCAGTGTATGGAAGGCGTGCAACCGTTTCTACTGTACGGTCGCACGTCTTCCGTCGAACCAGCATGCTAGAAAACCCGCCGGGAATCGTACTATTCTCGGCGAGTTAGTGGCCTGCTGGTTCGACAACTGCCGAACGGGCTGGTGTGCGCACGCGCACACTGCCCGTTTGCAGTCATCGTAAGCCCGCCCCTCATTACAGTCATCGTAAGCCCGCCCCTCAGGGGGACGGGCTTGCTATGATCGAGAGTACGATCTGCCTGTCCAAGATGGGCAGATCGTACGTTTTTTTAAGTACTTTACAACCATAGCAAGACTAAGGTCTTGCGATGGTTGTAAAGTGTATGGCCACCTTTACACATATAGAGCAATCACCCAGCTGAATATTGACAAGTGAAAACTGTTTCAGCATTAAGGTCTTGTTCACACCATCCTCAGTGTGTTCCGGCCCGATTGTGGCAGGAACGCACTGGATCGCATTACGGCCGGCTCAGTTTGTTGTGGGGTGGGAGGGGGCGTGGCGGTGCATTGAAGTGAATTGTACCACGGCCTCCAGCCGCAATGCAGCATTTTTTCAGACCGGACCGCAGGCAATGATGTGCCTTGCGTTCCCAAGCAGCCTATCACATTGCGGTCGGAGGGCATGGCTGTGGTGCCATTCACTTCTACACCCACAACAAACTGAGCCGGCGGCAATGAGATCCAGCGCGTTCCAGCCATAATCGCACTGAAGATTGTGTGAACGAGGCCTCAATCACAAACAGGTTCAATTCACAAAGCTAACACACTAGGATAGGGTTCCTTATTTAAGAAAGAGGACAGTTTATTTTAGCTGAGAGTCAATAAGAGTTAAAAATTACAGTCGCTTGGCTGAAAATAGAGATTCATACCCTCATGTTAAAGCTTTGTGAATTGAGTCTTCTTTTTCTGCCTTTCATTTTTTAATCACCACTTTATTTCCAGAAATACGCACTAGCATTAGTCTAGGTCAGGGGTGCCCAAACTTTCTAAACGAAGGGCCAGTTAACTGTCTTTAAGAGTTTAGGGGGACCAGACTGTGGCCAGCAGGAATAGCAAATGTCCCAGGCTCGATGGTTAGTGGGAGTAAGATATACCCCAAGGTTTTTGGTTAGTGGGAGTAAAAAAAAATGAGTTACCACTTGTGGTCAGTGTGGGGAGTAGTAATGCCCCATTGTTGATGTTGGTGAAAGAAATAGTACTCCATCATTAGTGTCTGTGAGAGGAAAAGTGCCCCATTGTTGGTGTCAGTGGGAGGAACAGTGCCCCACTTTTGGTGTCAATGGGAGGAATTGTGCCTCATGGTTAGTGTCAGTGTGAGAAATTATGCCCCTTCATTGGTGCCATTCGGAGGTCCAAGGGCCAGTTAGATGTAGGCTAAGGGTCACATCCGTCCCATGGCCCGCAGTTTAGAGACCACTGGTCTAGGGTATGGTTCAATAAACCAAACTGTAATCCCTTAACCCACACACAATCAAAATATAAAAATGTCAGACAAAATTAACTTTGTGAACCATAAATACACATTAGTATGTTAAGAAAACCATGTTCATCACTTTGAGAAATTATAAGACAATACGATATTTGCTTTAATACTTTATTTTTTTTTAAAATGTTATCAGAATCCTCTTATTGTTAGGGCCCACCAGATAATTCTCCAACACTATTAGGTGACATGGGACATAGTATTCTTTTAGCCCTCTTGTAGTAAGATCATCTTCTAAAAGTCATGACTGTACCTTACACTAGCTATATTGCTGTAACAGTTATATATGTATAGTCAGAGGCGGCTCTTTAAGTAGGCAAATTAGGTGGTTGCCTTAGTCCTCGCGCTCCCGAGGGCCTCGCGGCCGCCTAGTTTGCCCTGTCAGGACGGCAGCCAGGTAGCGTTGTCAGCTCTCATCCACGTAGCTGTCAAACTGAGACTCTCAGTTTGACAGTGACAGGGCTGAGAGCTCATCCGTTACCTCGATCGTTGGTGCGGATCATCGGCTCGTCTTCTGCACGGAGCTCCGCCCACCAGCCAATAAGAAGAGACCTCCCCCCTCCCATCCACCACACGAGGATCTCTGGCTGGGAGGGCGGAGTTTAACTGCAGAAGCTGATGGAGACGCCCTCAAGACACGGCCAGCACAGCACACACAGTACTGGAGTGGCAGCCTGGAGAGCCTTGTGGAAAGCAGGTGAGAGCCCTGTGGAGAGCCCTGGTTTACACAGAACCCTGCTAGGCTGGTGGGGCCCCCTCAGAGCCCTGGTGAGACCGCACAGATCCCTGGTATTAAATCAGGGCTTTGTAGGGTCTCCCCACGGCTGTGGGGTTTCACCAAGACTGGTGAGACCCCCACAGACCCCTGCTGAGACACCCACAAGTCCCTAGTTTAACCAGGGCTCTTTGGGGTCTCACCAGGGCACTGAGGGGTCTAACCAGACTGGTGAAACCGCACAGAGCCCTGGTAAAACCCTACAGAGCCCTAATTTATTCAGGGCTCTGTGGGGTCTCACCAGGGCTCTGCGTGGTCTCACCAGCCTGGTTAAACCCCACAGAGCCCTGGTAAGACCCCACAGGCCTGAGTGGGACCTCATGTTTAGGTTTTGCCTAAGGCCTCGCAAACTCTAGAGGCCTCTGTGTATAGTTATATATTCCAAGGTAATAACACTTTTGGACAACACCTGGAAAACGTTACTAAAACCTGCTAGGTATTACCCTATATTAACAATAAAAAATTCCTTTTGTAAAAATCACTTGTAAGGGCCTATCTAGAACAGGGGGTTCGGTTTTGGGCATTAGAATATAAATAAGGATATTAGACTTCAAGAGCAAATGGCAATTAAATTAATTGGATTGATTGAAAAATATTACTAAAAAGAAAAATTGGATTCGAAAAACAGGGAAATCGGTAAAAGGTGACTTATTTTACATGTTTAAACATATTCAGGGCCAATACAAAGATGTGCTTTATAAAATGTCAAGGACTGTACAAAGGACAACAGAATAGTTCTATACGGGGAAAAAATTGGAGAACCTAAACTTGATGGACATAAGTCTTCTTTATGATTCATTGGTGGTGGGTACAGCATTTTACATACTGATATTTACCATAATAAATAAAAACTGTAACATGATTATGATTTAAAATATTTACTAGCATTCTGTACTTAAAGAACAGGATTGAAAGGTTATTAAAAAACAGCATAAGTTCCCTTCCCCCTTAGGTAGTCTATCACAAACAGCTTCAGATGCAGGTTCCCATTACACAGTTTGGTTTTCCCCAGTGCCAGGCTCTGCATCTGAGGTCTATCTTTGAGTATACCTAGGGAGAACCTATACTGAATTTTTATCAAAACATACACCTCTACTTAAATGATCAGGGTTTTGCTGATCAAATGGCAAACCTGTGATCCACAGAACAAAGAAATACATACTGTAAGGAATTCTCCTATAAAACAAAAAATTGGTGTCTTTTCAGCTCAAGTTGCTTATTTAGCTTAAACCTCAACTGTGCATTTATGTACCTAGACTAAATTTGATTGATTTATACATGACATCATACTTTGGTTTAATGTGCCACAAGGTATAGGAGTAGGAAAGTTCTTATACTGCATTAATATCCATAAATAGAAGGGATCTGTAATGTTAGCATCCTAGAAAAAAGAACATTCAAAAACAACAGCTGAAAATAGGTGCAGCACTAAAATCAGTAATAGACAACTGTGCTTGCCTTGAAAAGGGTGAGAGGGAGTGTTGTACTACTAGAGAAGAGATGACGAAAGCAGGGAGATTAAAAATAGGAAGGTGCTGTTCTACAAGGGTTGTGGAAGTGAATAGTACAGGTCATGCTAGAGAAAGAGGAGATAAAGGTGCTCTACTGAAAAGCCAGATGTAGTGAAAAATTACAGTCCAGAATACGGGAGGAGAAAGACACAAGCAGAATAGGGTGTTAAGTGCCACAAGGAAGGATTCTACTAAGCCTTTACACCAACCCACAAGCAGGGAACAGGAGGAGACGGGTCTTCTTACCATGGCTAGGGACTGTGGGCGGCTCTCATGAGAGCCCAATGTCAGACCACCTCTGAAGCCATCAAACCCTGCTGTCTGGAAGAGATGAAATGAAACATCTTTTCAGGGACTGTAAAGGAGTAAACGTAAACCTTGGAACCCACCATAATAACCAGAAAATAAAAAAGGATATGTTTTGCACTGATTAACAGCACACATGGCTGTTCATCGTAGTAAAACTGGACTACCATACATTAACCGTTCATTAAACTTAGCAATAAATAACAGAATCCTACAATATTCCAGGAGATTACTGAGGCCAAAGCTGGATTATAGGCAGAAGAGTTCTCCACAGACTTAAGTAATAAACCAGAGATATACTGCACTCCCAATGCTATGCCATGCACATAAGAGACTGAGCAGTAGATCCCTTTCATGTATATGGAATGAGGAACGCCATCACTTATGCACACAGTACATCAAAAAGCATAGAACGTCCATGCCTTTCTATGGTGTTCCATGGGCAAAAATTGTGAGACAGCAAATTACAGCCTATAGCGCGCCAGTGCTGCCATAGTATTCTAGCCCTACGTTAAATACAGACTTGTTTTGTATACCTTTATTTAATAATACCCATAGAAGTAGTAATTTGACTTAGCACTTTGCTTTTATAAACATCAACCTTATATGTGTATAACAAGATGTTGTTACTCAGGGAGGGACAATTGCCTCCCTAACCTCAGGCCCCTGGGCACACCTTACAGGCTTGGTGGCATCTGTCATAGTAGGAGTTGCAGTGGTAAGACATGTGTAATAAATCCAACCTTAAAGGTAATAATGTGGAGGTGGCAGATATGACAGCTCACACATTTTCAAGTAAAATCGGGGATTTATAACACTTATAATGCCATATTAGCATGTGGGAGGTCTGGAAACAGATCACTACAGTTCCATACACTTCAGTCCAAATATCCATGAACGTCATTACTAGTTCAGTTTAACAGACAAGTAAGTCTTAAGTGTAACAAAAGAAATGACTGGCAAGCCAATATAGGCAGCTGCCAGGATGACGGAAGAGCGCAGCCAAGGGCATATTTGTCTGTTATGCATCTCTCATCTTCAATGCAGCGTTGCAGAAGGGAGTTCCTCTCATTTTATGCTGGCCCTCCTAATAGTGCTTTTGGCTGGGTGACCTTTGGTGTCACTTTCAGAGCCCTGTGTGGGCTGGCAGAAGATGAGAATGAGTCCTCTGCGTAGCTCTACAGATGTAGTAAACTACTCTTTGAGAGGACAGTGAGCGGAATTTATCAAAATGTGGAGCAGCTATGCATGGCAACCAATCAGCTTCTCTCTTCAGTTTGTTCAGTTAAGATTTGAAAATAAAAGAGAGAAGAATTGGTTGTCATGCACGGCTGCTCCAGATTTCGTCTGTTGCAGTTCTGATGAATTCCCCACAGTGTGTATCTCACAGGGCATTTTCTCTCATAGGTGATCTTCACAAGGCAAGAGTCCATCATTGTGGGAAGAGCAATAGGACTGGTAAACTTTAAAGAGCTTCCATTCATGGTTAGTGACCCAAATACAGATGCATGCGGACGAACAGATTATGCTTGCACATCTGACTGCCCTCTAACATCTATGTCCAGCTCGAGACTATAATGTTCAGCTGGCCATACACTGTCAGAATTTTATATAAACATTTGTTCAAAATCGTTTGTCAAAACATTTGATTTTGCCATCATTGAATCAACTCATTTTGTTTGAAAGCCCTTGGAATGGAATCCCTGATGTATTAAAGAACATTTTTGAACAAAATTCTACTGGCGCATGGCCAGCTTTGTCACACAAGGGACGTGTATGTAACAGGTTTCCTTTACACCAGGAGTGTCAAACCCAATTTAATGGCAGGATTTAATGGCAGGCCGCATCAGCTTTATGATTGTCCTCAAGGCGGCGGTTGTATCTGTAAGACTATATAAATGTATCTACTCTTTTCTATATTACATAATTCCCTCTGCATTTGATTATCACTGGTTTTAGTAATAGCTAGCTCTGAAAATAGAAGTCTAGGAAAAATAATGGCAGTTAGTGTTATGGTGAAGACTCTCAGGTGGCTGTGCAGGTTCTATGGTGGGTTGTGCGGACTCTCAGGTGGGCTATGTGGGTCTATGGTGGGCTGTGCGGACTCCCAGGTGGCTCTGCAGGTTCTATGGTGGGCTGTGTGGACTCTCAAGTGGGCTGTGTAGGTTCTATGATGGGCTGTGCGGAGTCTTAGGAGGGCTGTGCGGTCTCGCCAGGGGTCCCAATTGGTCTCGGCAGGTGCGTGTGGCATAGATCCACAGGAAGGAGGAGATTTGCCGCCAGCGCTGTAAACAGGCATCGCCATTCACAGGAAGGCTGCCGGGACCTTGCTGGGGACCTTGGCAGCCTTCCTGTGAAGCCTGATGCCTGTTTACAGCTCCAGCTTCTGTTTAAAATGTTAAATCGCCGGTATTGGCGCTTAGTATCGGAGACAAGGTGGGGGCGGAAACAAGGGGGCTGCCGCAGCTGCAGGAGAGGTGCAAAGGCCACATGAAATGGCCTGGTTGGCCTTGTGTTTGATACATGTGTTTTACACTATTAATCTGCACTCGAGATTGCCTAATAGCACTAAAATTATGATACAGAATTGCAAGAATTTGGTAATTTACAATTGTATTAGAATGTTACAATATAAGCTATATTTATACCATATTTACTCAATCCTAAAATAGCATTGATGTATTTCTGCTGCAACACATTTCCCAACCATATCAGCATGGTAAAAGATACAAGTTAGATGTGTCTATAAAATCTAAGAAATGCCAGACATTGTAACACTGGGGCATTATGGAGTCGGGGGAAAGGAGTAACAGGCACTGCATGTGACAAGAGAGCAGCTGCAGCCATTGACACACAGCAATTTAATACAAAGAGGCTTCACAGCCCAACCCAGGTGCTTCAGAGTGTCCTAACTCCTAATACACTGACTGCTATACCAGTGAAGGAAGCCATTCATGCAAGCACCTCTGGTGTGACACATTAGAGGGGAATATGAGAAATCTTCTGCAACTTAGCAACTCAGAACCTTGGCACCAGTCTGCAGAAGAAGCATAACATCACACATGAGGATGGAAATGTCAGATGATTCTTCTTTTCTATCACATATATCATCCAGTAAATTATAAACTTGTGTGTATGTGTATATATATA